AATGACTGCTTGCTGCCAGACAGCTGAGGGCATGCATGTCAGTCTGCCTCCTGCTGGCCAAACACCTCAACAGCGGCAGGCAGTTCCCCCCGTCTGACAATGGATGCTGTATGCTATTCCTTGCCTTTGATGTGTACATCTACCTTGCCTTAGGACACTTTGTGTCAATAAAAAGCAAGAGGTCCTGCCAAAACCGGTTTGGCTCAGCGTTTGCCTGCGGACTGAAAGGTCCCAGGTTCGATTCCGGTCAAGGGCATGTATTATACCTGGGTTGCGGGGACATCCCCAGTAGGGGGTGTGCAAGAGGTAGCTGGTCGATGTTTCTCTCTCATCGACGTTTCTAGCTCTCTATCTCTCTCCCTTCCTCTCTGTGAAAAATCAATAAAAATAAAATAAAATAAAATAAAATAAAATAAAATAAAATAAACGCATTCCTGGGATGCTGCACCCCAGTAACACCCCAGGGCGAAGGGGGACATCACCTTGACAGCTTGGCTCTCGGAACCCTGGCCTTGAACCAGGCCTGTCTCCGGGACCCTGGCTTCACTAAGTGCAGAGGTGAAAGCAGGAGGGACTCGGATCAGACACGCTGCAGGACTTCCTGGCAGTGAGCCTGCTCCTGAGACAAACACTTCCTTGGGAGCTCAGACGAGACACCTGCTCCCCTGACGTTCCTGCCTCATCTCATTGAAGGGCTTCTCACAGGTGAGGACAGTGAGGCAGAGAGGACAGAGCAGCCCAAACTCACACAAGTGGGGCCAGAATTAGAATGTCAGCCTGCTGAGTCACCTCGAGACTATGCTGTCCACCTCCCAATAGGGAAGAATGAAATGTGTAAGTGGATGTCCTTGGGCTCTCTCCCTCTCCCTCTCTCCTCCCCCCCCCCTTCTCTTTCCCTCTCCTTTTCTTTCTCTCTCTTTCTCTCTCTCTCTCTCTCTCTCTCTCTCTCTCTCTCTTTCTCTTCTCTCTCTCTCTCTCTCTCTCTCTCTCTCTCTCTCTCTCTCTCTCACATACACACACACTCACACACACATGCTCTCAGTGCCTACCAAAATCCTTGACCCTCTCCTTGATTTCCCCTGGTGACAGGGAGCTCACTGCCTACCGAGTGCCCATAATGTCATTCCCAGTCCCTTCCCCCAGGGCTGCTCTGGAAATAGTGGGGTGTCAGAGCTTTGAGGGGACATGTCTCCCAGGCAGGGGAAGGGCAGGTAGCTGACTGCAGCAGAGACGAGGAAGCCAGGCCAGGGCAGGAGGGGCTGGATCTGTGACTGTGGCAGTCTCTGCTACCACTCGCTCAGGATCCCCCGACAGCTCCCGCCCTCCACTACCCCTTTTGACCCTGAGTGCTGACTGCCCACTGATCTGCCTGCCCTCCAGGGCTCCCCACACTTTTGGCAAGAAGTTTTTTGCTTGTTGAATGTTTTTACTGACCTGAGAGAGAGAGAAATGTTGATGGGTTTCCTCCTGCACGTCCCCTACTTGGAATTGAGCCCAAAACCTGGGCATGTGCCCTGACCCAGAATCGCCCCAGTGACCTCTGGGTGCCTGGACAATGCTCAACCAACTGAACCACACCAGCCAGGGCTGAGTTCTTAGGACAGGCTCCTGGGTGCCCCAATCTCTTCCCACCCGCACCATCAGAGCTGCAGGGGGCACAGACATCACAGGGCAGCCCCCACGTCCCAGATGGGAACCTGATGCCCCAAATGATGTGTGTGAGTTTGCCAGGGACTCCACAGGGGCTGGGTAAGAGGGTTTGCATCCGGGCCCTTGAAGGCGTAGGTGTCTTTGGATGTATATGCGTTTTATCTAGCACCGTGGTCGGCAAACTGCAGCTCTCGAGCCACATGCGGCTCTTTGGCCCCTTGAGTGTGGCTCTTCCACAAAATACCCCGGCCTGGGCCAGTCTGTTTTGAAGAAGTAGCGTTAGAAGAAGTTTAAGGGTTTTTTTTTAATTATTATTATTGATTTTTTTTTTTTTTTTTTTTTTTTTTTTTTTTTTTTTACAGAGAGGGAGAGAGTTAGAAACATCCATGAGAGAGAAACATCAAACAGCTGCTCCCGCACACCCCTTACTGGGGATGTGTATGTGCCCCTGACCGGAATCAAACCCGGGACCCTTGAGTCCGCAGGCCAACGCTCCATCCACTGAGCCAAACCGGTTTCAGAGAAGAAATTTAAGTTTAAAAAATCTGGCTCTCAAAAGAAATGTCAATTGTCGTACCGTTGCTATTTGGCTCTGTTGGCTAATGAGTTTCCCGACCACTGAGCTAGCTTAGCTCCATGCTCCGCTTTTAGTGGCTTAACGGTGGGTCTCAGACTTTTCTCTTTTTTAATCTCAGGTCTGTTTTTCATTCTTAGGGAAGGCCAAAGAGCTTTTTGTGTTTTGTAACGTCCGACATTAACACAGGATTTTAAAGGTGACAGGCACTTTAAATAACAGTAATGAACATCGTGGCAGGTTGACATGAATTCAGTGTGTGTCAGTATCACCTGCCACGCTGCTTCTGGAGAATTCCCCGGACACGCCCGGGGAAGGAAGGGCCACGGGCAGAGAACGTCCCAGCGTGACGACGTGACCGAGCAGACCCCCGGGAGGGCCTGGGAGCCGGTGCCCCGGTCACACTCTGGAACCGCTGGGCCAGCCTGTCCCGGGCCACGATGGCGGGAGGCGGGCGCTGCAATGAAGTTAACCGATCGCCCGCCGCCTGCCCGCCTGCCCACCTGCCCGCCAGGGCTGCACCGGAATCAGAGCCAGAGGGACAGCCATTGGAGCTGAAACCTCTACCCTGACACTCACACGTCACTCTGCGGGGGGAATAGGGAAAAATCAGGCTGGACAGCCTCTCTGTGCCTCAGTTTCCCTCGCTGGAAGGCGGGCTCAGTAACAGCCCAGCTCAGAGCCAGCCTGGCCATGGTCGCTCCCAAGTCAACTCGGGGTTACCATGAGCGCGTTAATGGGATCCCATCAGCCTGTGCTCCAGGGGTGTGTCCCGTCCTCCAGCGCCCAGCGAGGGAAGGCCCTTGCTCTGCGGAGCCCCTGCCCGCCTGCCTCTCCTAAGACTCCCGCCCCGTTTTCATCGGTTGCTCTGGGGCCGCCTAGGAGCCCCGAGCCGGGCTGCTGAAGGGGCTGGGGAGGGAAGGGTGTGGAGTCTCCCTACCCAGTGGAGAAGGCCTGCCTCGGACCCGAGTTCCCACTTAGGATCTAACTAGAGGCCGGTGCATGAATTCGTACACTGCTGGGGTCTGGTGGCCTGCCTGCCCCAATGGGGGCCCATTAGGCCAGGCTGGGGGGGGGGGGGGTCCCGCAGGTGGTTGGCTGGCTGATCGGGGTGGAGCCAGACAGCCAACTGCCTGCAGCCCCTCCCTTCTCCCTCCCTCCCCCACCTCTGCGGGCCCCTCCCTCTGGCCCACTCCTGGAGGAACTCCCAGTCCAGGGGACAATTGGCACATTAGCCTTTTATTGTATAGGATGGGGAGCTTGGCTGTGGGGTTCCCATCCTGTGGCGGGCCTGGGTGGTAGAGATACGACCCCAGGATCCTGACCTCTGAGATCCCTCGGGTGCCTGTGTCCCGGTCCTGGTCCCTGAGCGGTCCGGTGCCACACCTGGCCTTAGGAGAGGAGGGTGCGCTTGGGTGCTGGGGTGCTGACACCCCGAAGCTCTCTCCTGGAAATGAGGGTGCGTCCTGGAGGGGCCATGGCGCCTGGGTCTCCACCCCTGCGGGGGCTCGGTGCAGGGTGCCTGCCTTGTCAGGAAAGGTTGGGGGGGGGGGGATGCTGGGTTCGCCTGGGGGGCTCGGGCGCTAGCTCCTCCCATGGAGTCTATAGATAGGGCCTGGACTATGGTGTCCCCCCACGACTCCGGGCTCTCCTGCAGGTGGGCGGGGCCGGACCCCCATTGCTGGAAACCCCGCCCGGAAAAGGCCAGGGGGGCTGGCCCGGCGGTGGGGCTCGGTGGGCGGGGCTCCGGCTGCCCCCGCCCCTCCGGCCCCGCCTTCCGCGCTGTCCCCGCGGCTCCAAGTCTGCGGGGCCTCGGAGCGCCCGGAGCCACAGCCCGCGCCCCGCCGCCCGGGTCTATGGGGCCGCCGCGCCGCGCCGCCCGGCCGGCCCCACGCCGCGCCCGGCGCCCGCCCCGCAGCCAGGTGAGGGGGCTGGGGGCCTGCGGGAGAGGGGCCGGGGGACACCGGGGTCCTGGAGGGACAGGAGCCGGAACCCCAGTGCCCTGGGGGGTCCAGACGCCCGTACCCGAGGCTGAGACAGGGGCGCGGGGGTCTGGACACCTGGCTGCGGGTGCGGTGTGGGCGGGTGGGGGCCTCCCGGACGCTCGTCCTGGAGGAACTGATACCGAACCGAACCCGCGCCTGGCTCTGGGGACCTGGACCCCGGACACCCCGGGCGCTGGGTGCGTCCCCGGCGGAGGCGCGGGCCCTGCGTCGGGCGCGGGGTCCGCACGCCCGGGTCTCGGGGAGGAAGTTGTGGCGGCGGAGACTCGGGGGCCGGCCACACGGCGCCCCAGGGGCGGGGGAGGTCCCGGGCAGACGCGGGATGGGGTCCGGGCCCTGCGCCCCTCCCTGCCTGGTCCGGCCCGGAGACAGCGCTCCGCACTTCGGGGACCGCACTCCCGGGCCGGAGGGCGCCGGGGGCTGGTGCCCGCGCCGGGCCTGGCAGCGCCGCCGCCGCGCCGGGCTCGGGGCTTGGGCATGCCTGGCACGCCGGCCGGATCCGTATGCGCGCCGCGTGCCCATTGGTATGCGGGAGCCGGCCCGGCGCGGCGGAGGCGGCGGCGCGGGGAGGCGGCGGCGGGGCACGTCCGCGCCCCGAGCTTCCCGGGCCCCGCGGGGCCTCCCGGGGAGACTGAGGCAGCTCCGGCTCCGGCTCCGCTGGCGCCTGAGCCCGCGCGGGCCTCAGTTTCCCCGGCAGCTCTCTCCCCGCCGCAGGAGACGCGGATCCAGAGCCCCGCCGGCGGCCCCGCCCCCGCCTGAGCGGCCCCGCGGAGATGGCGGCCCCCGGCCCCGGCGGCGGAGAGGGCGGGGGCGGCGCCCCGTGGGACCTGCTGCCCCGGCTCCCGGTCAAGGCCCCGCCCGGACCCTGGTGAGCGAAGCCCCGCCCCGCCCCGCCCCGCCCCGCCCCCAGCGGCGTCTGGGTGGAGTTCTCACTCCGGTCCGCCCCACCCGTGGGGCTAGGCTTTCCCACCCGCCCTCTCGGGGGCGCCCCCTCCCCTCCCCTCCTCCTCTCCTTCCCCCAGACACCCCTTCCCCCGCCCCGTTGTCCCGCCGCCGGCCGGCCGGTCTAACGGTCTAACTTCACTCTCGGTCCCGCCGCCGCCTCCAGAGTTGAATCCGCTTCCAACGCCCCATCCCGTCCCCTCAGGCCCCTCAGGCGGGCTCCCCTCCCCCCGGCCCCGCGCCCGGCCCGCTGAGGCTCCCGCCCCGCACAGCCTGCAGGCGCAGCGCAAGGAGAAGTCCCGCGACGCGGCGCGCTCGCGGCGCGGGAAGGAGAACCTGGAGTTCTTCGAGCTGGCCAGGCTGCTGCCGCTGCCCGGCGCCATCGCCAGCCGGCTGGACAAGGCGGCCGTGGTGCGGCTCTGCGTGGCCTACCTCCGCCTGCGCCGCTTCGCCGCGCTCGGGGCGCCGCCCTGGGGGCTGCGGGCCGCGCCCCCCGCCGGCCTCGGTGAGTGCGCGCCGGGGGGAGGGGGGGTCCGCGGAGAACCCGGGGTCCCGGGCGCAGAGGGTGCACAGAGTTCGGAGTCAGACCTCCCGTGCTGTCCCTGTCAGGGGTCCTTACCTCTCCGCGCCTCAGTGTACCCACCCGGGAAATGGGCACACGGGGAGGGGAGAGTTCAGGAACGCTGGCCTCATCCGGGGCTTGGTGGCACCAGGGGGTCACGCTAGGAAATGCTGTGGCTTTTATCGGCGGAGATGAGGCGTTGCTGCCGCAAAGGAGACCCGCAGCTCCAGCCTGGGCCTCCCCCCCAGATCTCCGGGCCTCCACCCAGGGGGAGCACAGGCCCCGGAGTCAGAATCCCCAGTTTGAAAGGCCGGAGGCCGATCACGGGACGCGGCAGATCCTCCCTGCATCTCTCTGAACCCTGATGACACTTCCCCTGAGGGCTAAGGAGGGGGTCAGCCAGGATCACCGCGCTCGGAGTAATCAATCACCAGGGGGACCCTGCGGGGCTGCTGGGAGCCTGTGGTTTAATAAAGAAGCACCTACTGTGTGCTGCTGCCGCCCTGCGCTGGGACCCAGAGGGAAACAGACTAGATGGTCCCCGCGCTGGGCCGGCTGACGCCCTGGTGGTTGAGACTCAGTAACAAACAGTCAGAGAAACAGAATCATTAATGCATAAACAGAGACTGTGAAACGCAGGTATCTCGATGCCTGCTTTTATTAGCATTCAGACTTTATTGACGGATTCCTACAAGTATTCTTTGTAACCATTACTGTTTTACTCTCATGACTGGGAGACCGTGAATCGTATGAATCTCAGGTCACAGGGCAGGGCCCCCGGCTACTCTCCCTCCCCAAAGGAAGAGGTGCCCTTAGGGTGGGGCTGGGGGGGGGGTTCCAGGGAGGAGTTGGGGAGAGAAAACAGCATTGATTAAGTTCACAATAAATCACAATTGAAATTTAAATTCCCAGGCGGTAATTAGGCGGATTGACTGGCACTGGGAGAATGGGCTCAGAGCCTCTGATTACTGTCATTATGTGCTCCGGGATAAACACCTCCCTATTGTCCCCGCCCAGGAGAGGAGTGGGGAGAGGGCCCCCCCTGAAGCTCAGCACTCCCCCACCCGCACCCCCGTTACCTGGGTGGCAGGGGCTCCCTGAGTTCACAGCACTGAGGAGGCAGAGCTCGGACCCCCTCAGGCCCTGCCTGTACCCCCGGGCTGGTGGGGGAGGCACTGCAGGACTCTCCCCAACATTAGGAAATTGGGGTCACCTGTTGCCCTAAAGGTCTCCCAACAAGAGGCCAGGCGCCTGCTTCCGCAGCTCCGATGGGTAAACTGAGGATGAGGTGTCAGCAGGAGTCAGAGAACAAAGCATTGAGCTGCCCTTCTCCAAAGGAGGGGATCCCATGATGATCTCAACTATAGGAACTGCCCTGGCCGGTGTGGCTCAGTGGATAGAGCGTCGGCCTGCGGACTGAAAGGTCCTGTGTTCAATTCCAGTCAAGGGCACATGCCTGGGATACAGGCTCAGTCCCCAGTGGGGGGGGGGGTGCAGGAGGCAGCCAATCAATGATTCCTTCTCATCATTGATGTTTCTGTCTCTCTCTCTCCCTTTCTCTCTGACATCAATAAAAATAAAAATAACTAAAAAATAAAACGACAGAAATAGTGGCAGTAATAACGCAGCACAGGGCCCGAGGGGGAAGCATGCTGCCAGTCCCAACTCCCAGAAGGAGGAAGAGGCCCAGCTGCCCCGCGGTTTACCTTCTCGGCCACCGTCCTGGCATGGCGGCAGGTCTCCAGGGCCGAGTCCTCCCTCGCAGCTCTCCGCCTCTCTCTGGGCCTCAGCCTCCCTCTGTGAAATGAGATGAAACAACAGAGGTCAAAGTCTAGTCCGGTGCCTCAGCATCTGGGGAGAAGACAGCCTGATTTCACATCAGCATTGCCCCTTCATCAACATCAAGCACCTCTGAACCCCTCCCCCATGCCAGAGAGTCGGTCCTGGGTGCCAGAGACACAGCCGGGCATGGGACACAGTCCCCGCCCTCAAGGGTCAGCCTGTGATTCCCGAGAGGTGGGTCCCCTGTCCCCCACCCCCTGACTTCACTCCCCACTCTCAGCCCCAACACACCCACACAGGCCGTTCCTCAGAGAAGCTCCCTCACCCCAGGGCCTTGGCACTGGCTGTGCCCGCCACCAGGATCTCCCTTCCCTCTGACGTCCGCGCCTCGGCCAGGCCTTTCCTGCCCATCCTACCAAACACGGCCGCGGCCGGCATTCCCTGCCTCCTGTCCTGCCTTATTTCTTTGCATAGAGCTATCGTCTGATAACACACATCTCGTTTATTTTTTTTATTTTATTTTTTAAAATATATTTTATTGATTTTTTTACAGAGAGGAAGGGAGAGAGATTGAGAGCTAGAAACGTCGATGAGAGAGAAACATCGACCAGCTGCCTCTTGCACACCCCCCAATGGGGATGCACCCGCAACCAAGGCACATGCCCTTGACCGGAATTGAACCCGGGACCTTTCAGTCCACAGACCGACGCTCTATCCACTGAGCCAAACCGGTTTCGGCCTCTCTTGTTTATTTTATGTCTCTCCCTCACGGCACCTTGTTCCCAGCGTCTGGGACACCACAGCCTCATCCCACAGCTGGGTGACTGGAATGGAATGAGCGAAGAAAGAGTGAATCTTTTTTTTTCTTTTTAATATATTTTATTGATTTTTTTTTTTTACAGAAAGAAGGGGGAGGGATAGAGAATTAGAAACATTGATGAGAAACATCCATCAACTGCCTCCTGCACACCCCCCACCAGGGATGTGCCCGAAACCAAGGTACATGCCCTTGACCGGAATCGAACCTGGGAGCCTTCAGTCTGCAGGCCGATGCTCTGCCCACTGAGCCACACCAGCTAGGGCAAAGAGTGGATCTTAGTTCACAGTCAGGCACGATCTCGCTGAGGAAGTGGCCTCTGAGGAGAGCTGGGAGGGCGTCCAGGCAGAGGCGCGCAGGCAGGCTGGACTCGCCATGCTGGTTGGAGGGAGTCTGGAGAGGAGGGAGAGGCTGGGGGTGGTCAGCAGGAGCCTGGGCCTGTGGTGAGGACTTTGTTACCCCAAGTGAGATGGGAGCCAGGTGACGGTGGTGTGAATGGGAGCAGGGAGCCCCCTATGGGGGGAGTGCAGTGGTCTGGGTGGGAGGTGGGGCCGCGGGGCCAGGTGGGGGCTCTGGGCTGACAGGGGGCTGGATTCCGGTGAGGCTGGACAAGAGTGTACAGCTCACAGGACTTACAGAAAATGGATGTGGGTGTGAGAGACAGAGAGGGGTTCAGGTGCAGGGCAGGGGTCCCCCCCCGGTTATCCATAGTAATACTGGTAAGCATAGCGGCAAACTCAGGGATGAGGCACCTACTGTGCGCCTGGCTCTGTGCTCCTTACAGGCACAAACTCATTCTGCTCCCTCACTGGACCCATTTTACAGATGAGGCCGAGGAAAAGTAGAGGCAGAAGTGCCCCCCTCCAGCCCTCAGGCTCACACGCTCTGATTGTGGCGGGTGGTTCCTTCATAGGGAATGAAGTTCCAGCCTGCCTTCCTTCCTTCCTTCCCTCCACCCTGCCCCCCACAGCAACCCCTCCGGACAGTTGGGATGGGGAGTGGAGGGGGACTCCTTAGGCCTTCCGTCCCCAGTCTGGAAGGGATGGTGGCAACTGGAACAGCTTTTCTTCTCCAGCAGCATCAGGCCCCAGTAAAAAAAAACCAGCACGTTTGCTGAGTGAGTGAGTGATGGTTGAAGTTTGGACGTGAGAAGAGGGGGCACATGTGGGGGTAACTCCTTTGGGGGGGAGAGGAATGAGGTATTTGGGTAGAGAGGAGGACACACAGGTGCAGGAGGAGTTGGGGAATTGGAGAGTTGGAGGAGGGAGAGCCTAGGAGGTAAGGAAGCCACCGGCCAGGGGTCAGTGATGGGACAGACCCCAGCGCTCCCCACCCCAGGGGCCAGGCCGGTGTTTTGGGGGAGCAGGCAGTGGCTGGGGCCCCCTCCCCCGCACGCCGCCCCGCCCCACGCGCCCATGAGCGCCGCTAATTGCAGCCGTTCAGCCTGACCTGGGCTGATCCTCCTGGAGGGAAAATGAAGGAATTAACAAAAATGACGGGGAAAATTGCCACAATTAGCGGGCGGCATTGTTCCCGCCTGTCACCCGGCTGGTTCGCGCTGCATCCCGGGGGAGGGGTCCGCGGTAGCCACCCGCCCCCGCCCCCCGTTATTGTTCCCGGAGCTCCAGGCGCGGGTGGGGGCGGGTGGAGCGGCGCCGGCCCGGGCGCGCCGGGAGGGGGCGGGGCCTATGCCTCGGGGGCGGGGCCGGGGCGGGGCAGCGCCTGGATGAGGCCTTGGCCCCGGGGGCGGGGCCTCTGTCTCAGGGGGCGAGGCTGCGCCCTGATTGGCGGAGGGGCGGGTCTTCGCCGCCCGGTGATGTCGCGATGCTCTGGAAATAACAATAGTAATCACACCATTAATACGCATTGTGGCTCCGCATTTCCCGGCCCCTGCGGAGGGTCAGGCCGTGCGAGGTCCTTTCTAGAAGCTCCTTAAGCTGGCTGCATGCTCAGCCCGCCTGGGAGGGCTGCGCTCTTGGCAAACCCGCTTGGCAGAGGGGGAAACTGAGGCACAGGGAGGGGAAGCGACCGGCCCCCCCAGGGCACACTGGACCCCAGACCTGGATCCAACCCTGCGAGAGCCAGGCGCCTGAGGACCCTTGAGGTCACCGAATCCTCCAGGCTGGACCTGGGGCCGTTCTCCACAGGGTCAGGGAGGGGGTCTGGGTGGGAACAGGGTCCACGACCTCTGCCTGTCTGCCCACCCCAGACGGTGCTGGGCCCTCAGCTCCTGCGGGGGGGACGGGGGTGGACCAAGCCTCCACCTCTCTGCCTGTCTCATTTGCCACGGCTCTTTCTGCCCTTCTTCTTTCTCTCTGTGCACCCCGTTTTCTCAACCTCTCCACCTCATATATATCATATTATTGATTTTGGAGAGGAAGGAAGAGGGAGAGAGAGGTAGAAACATCAGTGATGAGAGAGAAGTCCCCCACTGGGGATCAAGCCCACAACCTGGGCATATGCCCTTGCCTGGAATCGAACCTGGGACCTTTCAATTCACAGCCCTATGGTTTGTCCACTGAGCCAAACTGATTAGGGCACAAAAAAAAAAAAAAAATCTTATTGAGGTAAAATTCATAACATGAAATTAACCACCTTAAAGTGTACAATTTAGTGTGGCATCAGTACCTTCACAGTATCCGGCACCATCACTTCTGTCTAACTCCTGGGAACCACCACTCTGCTTTCAGTCTGCAGGGATTTGTCTATTCTGGACATTTCATATCAATGCAATCATCCTATATAATAAAGAGCTAATATGCTAATTAGATGGGACAGTGGATCGACCTTCTGTACGACCAGTGGGCGGGGCCTTGCATGGATTTTGTGCACTGGGCCTCTCGTACAATCTGTGTCCTCTCAGGCTTGGCTTGTGTCACTTAGCACAAGGGGTTCAAAGTTCACCAAAGTTGCAGCTAGGATCACGGCTTCATTCCTTTTTATTGCTGAACTAGTGGCCCGGTGCACAAAATTCGTGCACATTAAACGGGGATTCAGCCGAAACCGGTTTGGTTCAATGGATAGAGCGTCGGCTTGGAGACTGAAAGGTCCCGGGTTCGATTCCAGGCAAGGGCATGTACCTTGGTTGCGGGCACATCCCCAGTAGGGGGTGTGCAAGAGGCAGCTGATCAATGACTCTCATCGATATTTCTAACTATCTCTCTCCCTTCCTCTCTGTACAAAATCAATAAAATATATATATAAAAAAAAATAAAAAAATAAATGGGAATTCATTAGAAGAAATAATTTAATATTGCTATTTGCCCTTTATAATAGAAGTGTCAGGCATGAAAGAAAATTAGTAAAATGTATATGAAAACCTTCCTCCTTTCAGAGTCTGGGGCTCACCAGGGGACTCAGAGTCAAGTCCCCGCCCACCCACATGCACCTCAAAATCACGTGAGACCCAGACCCGGCCGCCCCTCCTCCCCCGGCGCATTGGGCTGGTTCCAGACCTGGCTAGTCCCACCCTTGTGAAGCCCCGCCAGGCAGGGGGTGTGGCCTGAGGTCCCCAGGCCTGGCACTGAGGTGGGGGAGCAGCCTGAGGTCCCCTAGCCCAGCACCAGGATGGGAAGTGCACCTTGAGGTCCCCTGTCAAGCCCGGCCTGGCACTCGGGGGGAGAGGGGGAGGGTGCAGCCTGAGGTCCCCCAGCCTGACCCTAGGGAAGGGGGCTCAGCCTGAGGTCCCTAGTCAAGCCCCCCAGGGGTGGGGGAGGGCGTAGCCTCAGTTCCCTGCTGATTGCTTGTTAAGGCTCCTTATGGGAACTTGGCTCAGCTGTGGGTGCAGCCCTCTTTGTGATGGAGTGATGGTCAATTAGCATATCCCCTCTTTATTAGGTAGGATAATATTCTCTGGTCTGAATACAGCACGCTTTGTTCATCCATCCGTCAGTTAACCACATTTGCCTCCACCTTCGGCTGTGAGGACCAGCGCTGCTGGGAGCATCTGTGCACAGGTGTTCACCAGAGCACGTTTTCGATGCTTTGGGGCTTATGCCCACAAGTGGGATCCTGGGTCATCGCCGGGTCCGATGGTAATTTCGTGTTTAACTCACTGTTTTCCAGAGCAGCTGTGCCATTGGCAGTCCCACCAGCCATGCTCGGGCGAGGGCGGGTGTGCGGTTTCTGTGTGTGTGTCTGTCTGTGTCTAGCCATCCTAATGGGTGTGAAGTGGTCTCTCCTTGTGGTTTTGGTTTGCATTTTGCTAACGGCGAATGAGTTTAAGCACCATCTCATGGGCTCATTAGCCACTTGTATCTCGTTTGGAGAAATGTCTCTCCAGGTCCTTTACTCACTTCTCAGTTGGGCGGTTGTTGAGTTGTGATGTCCTTTAGATCTCTCTGTACGTTTCTCTGTCCCTCTGCTTGTCTCTCTGTGCTTTGTCTCTCGGTCTCTGCGTGTCGCTCTGTTCCTGTCTCTGCATGTGTGTCTCTTTCTCCTTTTCAGTCTCCTCTCTGCCTCCTTCTCATCCTTCAGGTCCGAGCTCAGCTACTCCATCTCCCCCTTCAATAGGCCTCGCCACCTTCCTCTTCATTTCACATACCTATTTATTATTTCTTAAATCCTCACCTGAGGATATTTCCCATGTATTTTAGAGAGAGTAAAAGAGGGAGGGAAAGACAGGAATATCGATGTGAGAGAAACACATCGATTGGTTGCCTCTTGTAAGAGCCTGGACCGGGGCCTGGGGGCCCAGAAGGAGCCTGCAGCCAAGGAATGTACCCTTGACCAGAATCAAACCTGAGACTCATCAGTCCGCAGGCTGGTGCTCTATCCACTGAGCCACACCAGCTAGGGCCACATAATCGATTAGATTCCTCACAGCACAATGATAATTCCTTGTTCATTTTTTACTTGTTTATGTGCCATGGCCTGGGTGCCACGAGGGAGGAGCGGGCTGGCTGGGTCACCCCAGGGTTCTGATCACAGAAGCCTGGCCACAGGTGCTCAGAGAGAGTTTGCCGGGTGGATGGATGGATGGATGGGTCCCTTTCTCTATCCCCTGGTGTCTGTCTGTCTGTCCAGCCTACCTCTGCCCCTCTCACTCCTCCCCACATCCCAGGTCTCTTCCCCGCAGGGTGGGGGGCGGGAGGGGGGAGAGACACACCCTCAATGCCCCATGATGGCTACAGGACTGGGAGGGAGAGAGGAAATTCGTAGCCTGGTTCCCTGGGGTCCTTCCCAGAAGGCCAGGGTCGGCCAGACCGCAGGCCCCGGCCTCACCGGCCCCTCTGTCCCCAGCCCCAGGCCGCAGGGGCCCCGTGGCACTGGTCTCCGAAATCTTCGAGCAGCACCTGGGAGGACACATCCTGCAGGTGAGGCCCGGTCCCTTCCTGCTGCTCCGTGCTGCCACCTGGTGGCCTCCGCTGAGAACAGCACCCTTCTCCCGCACCCATCGCCGGAGAGCGCCCACTGGCTGCCCCTTCCAGGGCCAGTGAAGCCCCGTCCTCCCCCTCCCCCCAAAATAATCCGTCCTGGCAGAGAGAAGATTCCAGAGCCTCTTACAGGTGCCAGCCCTCCTCTCCCCTCCCTGTCTCCCCCACTCTAGGCCCTGGATGGCTTTGTGTTTGCCTTGAGCCAGGAGGGGAAGTTCCTTTACATCTCAGAGACCGTCTCCATTTACCTGGGTCTCTCTCAGGTAAGGAGGTCTCTCTCTCAGGCTGCCATCTCCCTGGGCCACAGGGCATCCCCTTCCTCTCTCCTGACCTCCCATCCCAGCGTGAAAAGGGGACTGGATCCGTGGTTCCCAAAGTGCGTTCCTTGGAACCCCACATGGCACCCAACAGGGCTCCTCCTTTCAGGCAGAGGGGGCGGGGGGGGGGGATTATCGAAGTCATGGGTCAAAGAAAAAATAATTTTAAAACAAAACAAGCCCTAGCCGGTTTGGTTCAGTGGGTAGAGCGAAGGGTCCTGGGTTTGATTCCAATCAAGGGCACATGCCCAGGTTTCAGGCTTCATCCCCAGTAGGGGGCGTGCAGGAGGCAGCCAATCTATAATTCTCATTATTGGTGTTTCTCCCTTCCTCTCTGAAATAAATAAAAATATTTAAAAACAAAACAAAAAGTAACAGGTCAATTTGAAAGAAGCAAATGAGCAGAAAGACGAGCTTGCCGATGAGAGGTGGCCAAATAAGTTGTTTCTTCTTCACAGTTTTGTGTTTGTATTTTTAGGAACAGGCTTAGGGTTAGGGTTAGGGCTAGGGTTCAGGCTCAGGTTGTTCTTAACAGTTTTAAAAGATCACAATTTGTATGGGCAGAGCTTGGGATCTGAGAGCGCTAAAAGGTTTTGTTTGAAAACCCTGTGTCTGGAGTCCTGGCTCCTGGTGGCCTCGCCGATCCAGTCGATACCAGTTGCTACCATCTTTTATTGTATTTAGAAAGATTTTGGCGGATGGTAAATTTCGACAATTCAGTGCTTAGGCCTCTGTGAGCAGCTTTTTGTGAGTTGTGATTTCTGGAGGAGGATGAACCTGAAGGCAGGGGAATGGGACCCAGAGGAAGGGAGGGAGGGAGAGGGCGGGAGGCTTGAAGCTGGTGTGGGAAGGGCTGGAGGAGGGGAGGAGGAGGGGGATGACCCCACGCCTTGGGCCAGTGGGAGCCACGGAAGGGTTCTGTTTTCTTTTGAGTTGTTGGTATTATTACAGATGTCTCTCCCCACTCCCCCCTCCACCAGCTCTGGGAGGGGAGGTGGCCCGATGAGTCACCTATGGAGGGTCCCCTTGAGTGGGGACTGAAGGCCAGAAGACCAGTGAGGGTGCTGGGGCAGGAACACAGCGGGGAGAACACGGGCCTGGTTTCGGGGAGATGTGGGAATGCTCCAAGATTTGTGTGTGTGTGTGTGTGTGTGTGTGTGTGTGTGTGTGTGTGTGTTTTGAATGCAAAAGTCTGCCTGACTCAAATGTCCTCATTCCATTGTATCCCGAACCCCATTCCTGCTGGGACATCCTGTGATTCATTTCAGGGCACAGCTGTTGGCTGTAAGTTAGAGGCCATGATGCCTCCCCATCCGAACTCCCTACACAACTTCTTTAAAAAAAATGTTTATTGGTTTCAGAGAGGAAGGGAGAGGGAGAGATAGAAACATCAGTGATGAGAGAGAATCATCTCTCCTCCAGCACACTCCCCACTGAGGATGGAGCCCACAGCCTGGGCATGTGCCCCTGACCGGAATCGAACCTGGGGCCCTTCAGGCCATATGTTGATGCTCTATCCACTGAGCCAACCAGGCTAGGGCCCTTAGCAGACTAGGCAGGCCAGAAAGTCTCTAGTAATCACTGGCTTAGACTAGCCTAGGCTAGTCTCCTCCTGCACAGAAGTTCCCTTTGCCCTGGCCTGCGCAGTGACAGAGCCTGGGCCTGCGCACTGAAGGGTCGAGTTTCAATTCCGGTTCCCGGTCAAGGGCACATACCTGGGTTGCTCCATCTACGGAAGCCACCAAGCCATGTAGCTCTCTCACATTGATGTTTCTCTCTCTCCTCCCCTCCTTCCCACTCTCTAAAAAATCAATGGGAAAAAATGTCCTTAAGTGAGGATTAAAAAAAAAAAAAACTTTAAAAAAATCTAATAAAAACAACATTGGCATGAAGTACTCCTGCCTGTGAGCGAATGTAAGTGAATGGACAGTTGGCCTAACCGAGGGGGAGGGGGCCCCCCCCCCGCGGGGGTGCCCTCTGCGAGCACCTTCCCCGCCCCTGTATTTCTCTCCTTCGCCGGCAGGTGGAGCTGACGGGCAGTAGCGTCTTCGATTACATCCACCCCGGGGACCACTTGGAGGTCCTGGAGCAACTGGGCCTGCGCACCCGGACTTCCGGGCCCCCCACCTCACCCTCAATCCCCTCCTCCTCCTCCTCCTCCTCTTCCTCCTCGCTTGCGGACACTCCTGAGATTGGTAATTCCAAGGGCCCCCAAAGGAGGAGGCCTGATGCAGGGACAACGGGCCATGGTATCCAGCGATGTTTCATTTCAACAAAACCCACTCTGCTTGGAGTGTTGTGCACAACAAGTTTTCAGAGTCTAAATGGAGGCAGGAAGACCCGGCTCCCTAAGACTGCCCGAGTCCCCAACTTTGCATGTGCTGTGCCTCTAAGTATTCAATTTCATCCAATCCTAACCACGGTCCCACAGAGCAGGACCTGTTACCCTCTTCGTGTTACCGAGGGGGAAACTGAGGCACGGCACAGCGAGGTGAGGTTGCCTGTCCCAGGTCACAGCTGTGAGCTGGGCTAGATTCCCATCCCCGTTTGTCTGCCTCCAGGATCTAGTCTGCTCCTCACCCTCCTTTCCGATGGAAAATCCCGCTCCCATGTGGAGGAGGGAGGTGTTGGGTAACCGGACGGTTCCTCTTAGCTCTGAGGTGCGGAAGGGGCGGCTCGCGAGGCCAGCTTTCCTGCAAACACGGTTTTCTTACCCGGGGTTTGCTTTGCACCCAAACCGCCTGAGTTGTCGGCGGTGATTGCAAGTTTGGGGGCATGTGTGGGGCTGAGATGATGTTTGCACCTGAACTAAGGTGACCAGGCGTCCCGATTTTCAACCATTTGTCCCGCGGCGCTTTAAACAAATGGTTAAAAATCGGAAATCGGGACTGTCCTGCCAAAAGCGGGACGTCTGGTCACCTTGCCCTAGACGTGAGGCCCAGGGTGGGCTGGGTGTGAGCACAGGTGCGCCTGTACCATGGACGAGTCACTGAGTCTCTGTGGCCACATCCCGAGGCCCTGCTCTGCGCCCAGCTCCGTGCCCGCAGGGCTGGGGACCCGTATGACCGCAGCCCCAGCCCCGCCCCAGGGCGCCCCGTCCAGTGGAGGAGATGGCCGTGCCCAGCGGGGGCGGGGGCGGTGTAAGCCCCCAGACACGCTGGGAGGGGGACGTGGGGGAGGTCAGGGGGGCTTCGGGAGCAGAGGGCTGGCCTCAGAGGGTGTCGGTGGGACGCAGCTCCTGCCCGGTGTCAGGTCCCAGGGAGAAGCCGGGCTTCCTCGCCAGGGTCCCCGGAGCCCGGAGCCGCAGGAGGGCCGGGAGGCCGGGTCAGAGCTGGGCGCAGAAAGGCCGGGACGGGAGGAGGGCCAGCGTAGCCGCCCAGGGGCTTGCAGGACCGGCTGGGGGGGGCGGGGAGGGGGCCTCTGTGCGTCTCCTCCCCAGGACCCCACCCTCTCCTCACTCCGCCCCAGAGGCCGGCCCCCCTGCGGCGCCCTCCGCCCGCGCGCGCTCCTTCTTCGTCCGCATGAAGTCCACCCTCGCCAAGCGCGGGCTGCACGTCAAGGCCTCGGGGTACAAGGTGGGCGAGGGCCGGGCACAGCCGGCTCCGGTCCCGCTGCCCCCGGGGGGAGGGGGTGCAGGCAGGGGAGGGGCTCCCGCACACCCTGCCCCTCCTCCACCCGCCCCCCCCCCCCCGCAGGTCATCCACGTGACCGGCCGCCTCCGCGCCCGCGCCCTGGGCCTCGTGGCCCTGGGCCACGCGCTGCCCCCCGCCCCGCTGGCCGAGCTGCCGCTGCACGGACACACGGTCGTCTTCCGGCTCAGCCTGGGGCTCACCATCCTGGCCTGTGAGAGCAGGTACCGGGCACCGAGGGCGGAGCAGCCGGGGGCGCCCTGGGCAGAGCCTGGCCCCTCGGGTCCCTCCCCGCACCTGCTCCTTCCGCCCCGCGCGGAGGGGCAGTGAATGTGACAGTGAGATGGGCCCCCCTGGGTGCCCCCCGCCCAATGCCCGGAGCCACTCCAGGAGGGACGGCTGCAGTGTACGGAGGGGAAACTGAGGCTCGGGGACTGCAGAGCCGCCCCCCCCCCCGCAGGGTCAGCGAGCACATGGACCTGGGCCCCGCGGAGCTGGTGGGCCGCAGCTGCTACCAGTTCGTCCACGGCCTGGACGCCGCCAGGATCCGCCGGAGCCACCTGGACCGTGAGGACCCCCGCCGCTGCCGCCCGGCCTGCCCCCTCCGGGTCCCTCCCCTACGCCTCCGGGGCTCAGCTCCGCGCGGGGCGGGCGGCCGGGAGCCCCGAGCAGGGCCGGGCGGGGGCGGGGGGGGGCGGGCTGGCTGCAGCCTCTGACCCACCCAGCACCGGGGCTGCCTCCTGACGGGCTGTCCCCTGTGTGTGTGGCCTCTCTCCTCCTGCCCTCATCCTTCCTGGTCCCCGCGTCCCTCTGTCTCTCTCCGCACCACCTCCTGTCTGTCCCTGCCCGTCTGTCCCCTCCCGCCCACCTCCCTGCCCGCCTGTCCTCCTGGGTCCCCCCTCCCTCCGCCCGCCTGTCCTCCTGTCTGTCCCCCTTCCCCACGCCCGCCTGTCCTCCTGTCTGTCCCCCTTCCCTCCCTCCACCTGTCCTGTCTGCCTCCCCTCCCTCCGCCCGCCTGTCCTCCTGTCTGTCCCCCTTCCCTCCCTCCACCTGTCCTCCTGTCTGTCCCCCTTCCCCCTATCTGTCCCCCATCCCTCCGCCTGTCCCCCTGTCTGCCTCCCTTCCCTCCGCCTGTCCTCCTGTCTGTTCCCCTTCCCCCCGCCCGCCTGTCCTCCTGTCTGTCCCTCCTCCCTCCGGCCGGCCGGGCCCAGTGCTGGACAAGGGCCAGGTGGTGACCGGCTACTACCGCTGGCTGCAGCGCGCGGGCGGCTTCGTGTGGCTGCAGTCCGCGGCCACGGTGGCCGGGGGCGGGAAGAGCCCCGGGGAGCGCCAGGTGCTCTGGGTCAGCTACGTGCTCAGGTGAGGCCGCCCCCCACCCCCCGGGGCTGGGCCCGCAGGGAGGCTTCCGGAGGGACAGGCCAGGGGGCTGAGCAGGAAGGGCGCGGGGCAGAGAAAGCGCTGGAAGCAGAGGAGGGGGAGTGGGCAGCTGGGGAGCCGGTCTGAGGCTGCGGGCCTGGGCCTGACCGGGCACCGGGGAGCCAGGGCGGGGGTGGAGCGGAGGTCACAGCCCAGCTGCTTTTGGAAGCCCCCCTGCCCGCCCGCCCGGGGTGCTGTGAAGGGGGAGCTGGGACGGGGCCGGAGAGGCAGGCCTGCAGGGGGGAGGGGCCGCCCGGTCTGTGGGCCCAGACCCGCCCCGGAGGGGACACCTCGGAGTGACCTCCGGGGGCCAGGCTGGGCACAAGCCATCGTGCGTCTGGGGTCCCGTCATGAGGCCGAGGGCTTCAGGGGAGACCTGTACTCACTGGGGCGGGGGCTGCACTCGGATGGGGGTCTACACCCCCAAGCCTGGGGGCAGGGCCGTGTGCCTCACCAGGCACCCGCTCCACCCCCGTCTCCTCGCAGCCAGGCGGAGGGCGGCCACATGCCTCTGGACGCCTTCCAGCTCCCGGCCCGCGCGGCCCGTGGGGACGCGGCCAGCCCCGAGCCGGAGCCCGCAGGTGAGCCCCCGCCGGCCCGGGGCCCCCCACCCGCACCCGGACTGGGCAGTGAGGGGGCCCCCGCCAGCCCCGGGGCCCCGCCACCCGCACCCGGACTGGGCAGTGAGGGGGCCCCCGCCAGCCCCGGGGCCCCGCCACCCGCACCCGGACTAGGCAGTGAGGGGGCCCCCGCCAGCCCCGGGGCCCCGCCACCCGCACCCGGACTGGGCAGTGAGGGGGCCCCGCCACCCGCACCCGGCCTGGGCAGTGAGGGGGGCCCCCCACCGGCCCCGGGGCCCCGCCACCTGGACTGAGCAGTGAGGGGGGCCCCCCACCGGCCCCGTGGCCCCGCCACCCGGCACCCGGCCTGGGCAGTGAGGGGGCCCCCCACCGGCCCCGTGGCCCCGCCACCCAGCATCCGGACTGGGCAGTGAGGGGGCCCCCCACCGGCCCCAGGGGCCCCGCCACCCGGCACCCGGCCTGGGCAGTGAGGGGGTCCCCCACCGGCCCGGGGCCCCGCCACCCGGCACCCGGATTGGGCAGTGAGGGGGCCCCCCACCGGCCCCGGGGGCCCCTGCCACCCAGCATCCGGACTGGGCAGTGAGGAGGCCCCCCCACTGGCCCCGGGGCCCCCGGCACCCGGCCTGGGCAGTGAGGGGGGTCCCCCCACTGGCCCGGGGGGCTCCCAGCCACCCAGCACCCGGACTGGGCAGGGCAGGAGCCACTGGCCACCAGGGGCTGGCTGCTCACGTGAAAACTAGCAGCTCAGTCACGCTCACCACCGTCCAGCACCTTAGGCAGACGTAGCCCGTGGCCTGGGCGTTGTGTGGCGTAGACATGGGCATCCTCGTACCTGGACAGTGGTCAGCCCCGGGCTGGCCCAGGGCTTCCCAGGCTCCGCCCCGCTGCCCTCAGGGACCAGGCCACCTTGGCTTGGGGGCTGTCCTGGGCACGGTGGGGTCCTCAGCAGCACCCTGACCTCTCTCCGCTGGTCACCCTCCTCCCCGGGTGTGACACCCAAAAACCTAAAGAGCCAGGTGTCCGTCCCTGAGGGGGAGCCAGCCGGGCGGACCCACTGGGTCCAGAGGGCTGGACTGAGGGCCGGGCACGCACACCCACGGCGCCCTCACACCTTCCAGAGCCAGCGTCGCCGGTGCGAGGGGAGCAGGCGGCCCCCCCGGGCGAGGAGGCGGCCCCCCAGGCCCAGGGCAGGGGCATCAAAGCGGAGCCCGGCCGAGGGGACGCCACAGACCCGGAGGACAGCGGGGACGAGGAGCCGGCCGGCCGCCCGGCTCCGCCGCGCGAGCTCACGTCCGTCATCCGGGCGGGGGCCCCGAAGCAGGGCCTCGTGCGGCCGTGGGGCCTGGTGCCCCCGGGCGACCCCTCGCCCGCCCTGCTCCACGCCGGCTTCCTGCCCCCCGTCGTGCGGGGCCTGTGCACCCCCAGCACCATCCGCTACGGCCCCGCGGAGCTGGGCCTCGTGTACCCCCACCTGCAGAGGCTGGGCCCCGGGCCCCCCTTCCCGGAGGCCTTCTACCCGCCCCTGGGCCTGCCCTACCCCGGGCCCGCGGGCACCAGGGGGCAGCGGAAGGGGGACTAATGAGGCGGAGAGCCTCCCGCCGAGCTGGACCCCGGGGGGGGGGTGGGGGTCAGGCCCTAAGGGGGCAGGGGACAGGGCTCTCAGACCATTAAGAATCGAAGATGCCGAAACCGGTTTGGCTCAGTGGATAGAGCGTCGGCCTGCGGACTGAAGGGTCCCAGGTTCGATTCCGGTCAAGGGCATGTACCTTAGTTGTGGGCACATCCCCAGTGGGGGGTGTGTAGGAGGCAGCTGATGGATGATTCTCTCTCATCGATGTTTCTAACTCTCTCTATCCCACTCTCTTCCTCTCTGTAAAAAAAAAAAAAAAAAAAATCAATAAAATATATTTAAAAACAAAACAAGAATTAAAGACCTGCTCCCCGTCTGTGGCTTGGTCTCCGCGGGCTGTGGAACCTCCGCGCTCTGGGCCCCCTCCCCCCGCAGGCCCAGCCTGCCCGCACAGGAACCACCACCACGTGGAGGAAGGGAAGGGTCAGGTTTAATGTCCTGGTCCTCGGACCCGGGCCGGTCTGCAGCGGCCGCAGGCCTCAGGTCCACGGTCCTCCCCCCGGCCCTGCTGCTCACTCGGGCGGGGGCCGCCCCTCTTCGTCCGGGCCTTCGGCGGCCGTCCCGTCGTCCTCGGGCACCAGCTCCACGTCCAGCTCCAGCTGGCCCATGTAGAGGCCCACGGCGCAGGCCCAGAGCAGGCCCGCGGCCAGCACGGCCCCCACGCCGGCCGCCGCGCCCCCCAGCGACAGCTGCATGGGGCCCCGCAGCGCGGCCAGGCCCACCACGTAGGAGGCGCCGCCCCAGGCCACGCACAGGCCGCCCAGCAGGAAGAAGCCTGTGGGGGAGGGAGGGGGAGGCCGGGGTCAGCGAGGGGAGGCCTGGGCTCCAGGGGAGGGAGGGTAGAGGCTGGGGAGGAAGGCCGAGGGGGAGGCAGGTCCTGGAGACGGGCGTCGGGGACTGAGGTGGACTCAGAGTGGGATGGGGCAACGTCAAGGGCGGAGCAGGGGCCAGGGGTAGTCCAGAGCCACGGCGCCGGGCGTGAGTGGTAGCCGAGGGGCGCCGAGGATCTGGAGGTGGGGTCCAGGGTCAGAGGAAGGGTTGGAGGGGCAGGGGCTGGGCTAGGACGCCCGTCTTTGTGGGGAAGTCAGACTGGAAGGCAGACCCGCACCACGCCCCAGACCACCCACTCTGGGCAGTGGGGAGCGTGGGAGGCGGACACAGTGAGGGTGCGATGGGAGGCGGACACAGTGAGGGTGCGATGGGAGGCGGACACAGTGAGGGTGCGATGGCTTCTGGGGCAGGAGGGAATCGACACTCACCAGGGTTGGGGGGGAGGGGGGGTTGGGGCGAGGAGGGGGGTCGGCACTCACCGTAGGCAGCTTCCCGGCCCATGTCACTCTGCATGAAGGAGATGACCCCGATGCCGGAGGCCAGGAGGCCATTGCGGAACCAGGAGAGGAAGGCTTGGAGGACGGGGGAGACGGGAGAATCAGCACCGGCCCAAGCCCTGCCCACAAAGGACCTCAGCCCAGACAGTCACACTGAGGGCTTCGTCATCCCACTACCCATCCTGCTCCAAGTTCCCACCAAGTCTTGGCGGCCCGCCCCCCCGCAACAACCCTATCCCCCCCTATTCTCCATCTCTGAGCCCCGCTTCCCCAAACTCTGCAATACCGAGTATTCAAGACGGATTGCAAAGTCTGCAGGATCTGGAACCAAAACTGCAGAACCTAGCCGAAACCGGTGTGGCTCAGTGGATAGAGCCTCTCGGTCTGCGGACTCAAGGGTCCGGGGTTCGATTCCGGTCAAGGGCATGTACCTTGGTTGCAAGCACATCCCCAGTGGGGGATGTGCAGGAGACAGCTGATCGATGTTTCTCTCTCATCGATGTTTCTGACTTTCTGTCCCTCTCCCTTGCCCCTCTGTGAAAAATCAATAAAAAAATATATTTCAAAACAAAACCGCAGAACCTAAATCTGAGGATAGGAAGACCCCACCCATGGGCTGCCCTCTCCCTTCTTTCTCAGACCTCCGGACACAAACTGTTCCCCGATCCCAGGCCTGACGGGGTCCTTGTGTAGTGCTAGCAGCCTGGCTGGATCACAAACTCCCCATCCCTCCATCCTCTGAGCCCCGCCCTCTCCCAGGCCGGCAGGAGGCCCCGCCCCCTGCAGCCTGGATCCCCTCGCCCTCCAATCAGCCCACAGCTTCCTTCCTATTGGCTGTCCCTCCTCCAATCAGGAACTTTCCCCTCTCCGGTACTGATCCACACTCCCGCCTTAGGCGGGGTGGTCCCCTCCTCCACGCGAACTGGCCCCTCCATCGCGGGCCCCGCTGTATGTAGACACACCCTCGACCTTGGCCTTCTTTGGCGGCCCCTCTGGTCCCGGCAGCACAATTCCATCCGGATGCCCGGCCCGGCGGCCCGGCCTCTCCGGTCCCGTCCCACCCACACCCTGCTCCTATGCGGACGCACTGCGCCCTGCAGCCGGCGCTCCCTGCGCGGACACGGAAGCCTCCCCTCCCGGGTCCGGCCCGGGCTCCACAGAAGCCCCGCCCCCCTCCCCCTCACGCGCGGACAGCCCGTCCATCCCGACCCCGGCCGTCCGTCTGCAGCCGCCGCCAGCGCCGCAGCCCCTCACCTGTCTCGTGAGCCTTCCGGAGCAGCCAGGCGTCCGCGCGGTCCAGCTCGGACACGGGGGGCGGCGAAGCCCCGGCGCGGGGGCCGTGGCCGGGGGCGAAGGACCCCCGGGCGCCCCCGCTCCGGGGCCGCGGAGGCGGCAGCGGCGGCGCCCGGAAGTGTATTCGGGCCAGGCGGGCGGCCCGAGCCCACCACCAGCCGCCTCCCATGGTTCGCACTACGGCCGCCGCGCAGCGGGCCGCCTCACAGGCCGCCCGTAGGCTAACGTGCACGTCAATCACACCTAGACGCTCATCCATTCGCTGTTCGCACGTCACTGAGGCCCAGCGCGCACCGTCCATTGGTCAGAACGGCAGCAATTCCCGCCTCTCTCGGCTGTGCCGGTACGAGGCGTCCCACCCCTCTTCAGCGGCTGGACTAGGAATCCCAGCGATCACTGTGCCCGGGGAAGGCGGGTCTTCAGAAGCTGGAGATGCGATGTCTGCCGGGACTTGTAGTTTTTGTTGATAATTTGAATTCCAGTTGCCAAAATCCCAAAACTCTTACTTTAGAACTTTTGCAAAATCTCGAAGAGCCCAGAGAGAGGAGAAAGTGCAATTCACCATAAATCCCACCAAGGAGCGGTTACTGCTATCTTTTGTTTTAGTCCTGTGGTGTCTTTTTTCTATGCACATGTAAAATAAGATGCCCTTCGATAAAAATTTTTTTTCACATAACAATAAATCAGTGGTACTGATTACTTTTCCACAGCCTAATTTTAAAAGACATTTATTTTGAATATGGGACAAGATGCAAAAGTTACAAAAGCGTCTGATGAAAAGTAATTAGCGGTCAGGTAGCTCAGTTGGTTGGAGTGTCCTCCCCATACATTAAGGTTGTGGGTTTGATCCCGGGCTAGGGCATATACAGGAATCAACCACTGAACGTGTAAATAAGTGGAGCAACAAATCGATGTTTCCCTCTCTTACGTCAATAAATTTTTTAAAAATTAATTCCCACCTTGTGTCCCAGCCAGCCAGTTCCACAAAAGCAAGTTTAATGATTCATCCTGATGTGTTATAAGTGATCCCAGGGCCTAGACAGTTTTCACACTTGCCTGCTCTCAGCCATGGTAGTTTCCTTGTAGGTGTAAGCCTATGCTGGAGCCAGGAGGGACCCACCCTCACTGTCAAACTTCAACCTCCAGCATCTGCCTCTGGGTCCACACGTTTCTTTATATAGCCCCTGTTGATTTTAAAACATAGTAGTTTTTGTTTTGTTTTATCAGCAAAAATGGGTTTATCCAGGAAGAGCAAAGAATTGCAATTTGGGCAAGCAAGCTATACAAAAACCATAGGCAAGTCCAACAAAGGAGAGAAACATTATTTAAGAGAAAAAGGAAGAGGTGGGGAAATTCATTGGAGAAAAAGGAGAGTTCAGGGAGATGACAGTTTCTCATTGGCTGAGCTGATGAGATAATCAATTTCCTGTTGGGGCTTATAACTGACTAGAGGCTCGGCACACGAAAGCCGTGCATAGGTAGGGTCCCTAGGCCTAGCCTGCAATCAGGGCTGGGCCTCCACTGCCACCCAACCCCGTTCCAGCTCCCATCGGCCAATTGGGGCCTGTGGGCTGGGGGCAGCTCCTGCATTGAGCATCTGCCCCCTGGTGGTCAGTGCAAATCATAGCCAACTGGTCGTTCTGTCTGATGGATTTGCATATTATGCTTTTAATTATATAGATGATTCTTTCCTGTTGACTTTTTTTCCTTTCTTGGTCCTGTCTGTAACTGACAATTCTTCCTGTAATTGACATCAAGTGGCACTGTGTGAGAGCTCCCCCTTGTGGCCTCCCAACTTAATTTCAGTTAGGTTTTTCTTTATTAATATTCACAGTCCTTACTACACTGGCATAATGATCTCTGTACTTATCTGTCTCTGCCATCAGTCTATCAGCTTCTGATGGATATAGTTCTTTTAAAATTATGTATATTTTTTATTGATTTCAGAGAGGAAGGGAGAGGGAGAGAGAGATAGAGACATCAATGATGAGAGAGAATCATCAATCAGCTGCCTCCTGCACACCCCACACTGGAGATTGAGCCTACAACCTGGGCCTGTACCCTGACCAGGAATTGAATGGCACCTCTTGGTTCATAGGTTGATGCTCAACCACTGAGCCACACTTTCCAGGCTGGGTTTAGTTTTTGATTGACCATTTCCATGTCCCCCAACTCAATATAGGTAGAGGACTTGGATATTCACCAATGGTGTGTGTGTGTGTGTGTGTGTGTGTGTGTGTGTATGTGTGTATGTGTGTATGTATGTGTGTGTATGTGCCAGGAATTATGCTGGGCACGCTATGTGCATGTCATGTAATCCTCATTGTA